TTTTTTTCTCCATTATTTCGGGCAGAGGGTGGAAGAGGGTTGAAAACAGAATGCCAATAAACGAATTTCTTTTCATTGCCCCGTGTTGGAGAACTGAAAACTATTATGTTTTCAAAGAAACGAGAAGGAAATGGTCATAATAAAACCAAATGAAACCGCAAATTAACTGATGACGGCGGCCAATCCACTGAAATCCAAGTCGGAGACACACGAAATGGACAGACAACGATAATCCTGTCGGACAAGTCGCATCAAAGGTTCAACGTGCGCCTCAAACAGCTCACATCCCCTGCCCCGTGCGGCAATCGGACTACCATCTTGTTGTTGTGGCCGCTTCAGATGTAGTCCGCGATTAGACCCGTTTTGACATGTCATCCGCCGCCTTCAGAACGCCAGATCGACGCGTGTCGGACGCGGTCTTGGTGGCGTGAAATTACTCGGTGCGCACCGCAACTTAGCGTGTTCGCGGGGAGGCGCACGGTTCTCAACGCGCCCCTACTTCCCCTGCAAGCAGGAACAGGGATTAGGAAGATTCCTGGTGAAGCGGAGCCGGCCACCGGAAAAGGGATTATGTCACTTCTTGAGCAGTGCGCATGATGCACCTGACGTCACGAGACTAGGGTTCCGGTGCAAACCTTCAGCCACGCTCCAAGTGATTTTGCGGTACACTTTGTAGAAGGCTTTTTTAAAAATAGTACATGTACATGTGTTTTGAAAACAGAAAGAGTATGAGGTGGGAGGGAAGGGGAAGAAGTAAAAGAAAGAGGATGGGGAATGGGGGGGGGAAGAAAGGGGGAGCGGCAAAAAAAATCCGAAGTACACGATCATGAAAACATTCATTATACGTACAGTGGTGGCCTGTGAGATTTTGTTTTCGTGTGATTCAAAGAGCATGATCATGAAAACATGTAATTTTTTTCCTGCTGTGGGACAGATCTCAAATCTACATATTCCAGGAAAGCTAATTTTTCAGAGGACATGATAATCGGATTCTGTCTGGATTCTCCTGGGTACAATCAAAATTGTCCAAGACGGTCACCAATTGTCGAGGAAAATAGAAGTTGTCATAGACAGGAGGTCGTCTTGAACAGTGTCAACTATGATGCAGAAAAACCCTGATTGTAGGGAGGGGAGGTTGGGGGAGGGGGTGGAATGGGAAGTGGTCATTTTGTACAGGCGGCTGTAACAGCAAGTTGGACAGTACTTTATTTAATACAACTAGAAAGCTTCACTGTTTATTGTTTTGCCTTGTACAAAATGCTTTGCTTATGATGTGAAACCTAGTGCTGTATGATTAGTCAAGATCCCTACCGTTTCAGAAAAGATTTGGGAGGGGGGGGGTTAGGGGGAGGTGACGAATGAAGTTAGACTAATGTTTTTAGCTTTTAAAAAATATTAATTTTTTTCTACGTAAATTAGAACAAAAACAAAACAAACAGTTTTTTTTTATAACGCATCAGCACTACATCATGTGTCATAAGAATATGTGAGGCGGCGTGGTGGAATCAGGCTCTCGTCAAAATAATCAAAGTGAGGAAACTGGCATTTTCACACAGATTTGTGTATTATCATAATTTTTAAATATTTTTTTTTGCTCAACCCCTTTCATGCCCATTAAGAACTCATTTCTGTGTGGATTTTTCTTAAAAACGTTGATTAAAGGCACAAAAAATGAAAATTTTCATTTACCACGGACTCTTAAGCTAAGGAAATAACTAATCTTTGGCCGCCATTTTCTCATTAATTTTACCTCTGAAAACAGGTGACCCCCACCTCCTTCATTCGCAAATATCTCGACTTGTATTCAAGATAAATGTATATTTTTTTTCATCCAGATAAAGACAAGTGAACAAGCTTTAAGATGATACCAATAACTCTACATGCCCAAACATTGACGAGAGCCTGATTCCACCACGCTGCCTCACCTGTGCCCAATGTTCCTACAGTAGAAACCAATCCGTGTGCCTCAGCTCAGTCGCTATAGTGTACCGAAGAATTATGACCCGGCCTCGTCCTTTCCTTCTGGCCTCGCTCGATATTATCACTTTTCATCGCTCGTGTTGACATAAAGGCGTTCGATCAACTACAAAGATAACCATGTTTATGTACTTAATGATGTGTTCAGGGAGAGAAAAAAGGCCCCCATATACAGCAGGTTTTGGTGGACGACCACATAATGAAGTTGATGTCTTGTCATACAACGGACGATTTTTTAATTAGCTGTCCTGGCACACGCTCTCCGACAGTGCCGATAAGCTTGACTGCGATGTTAATATATTATCTTCATTTTAAGCTTAGAGAACTCCAAGAATCAAAAGGAAAATGTATGCCAGTCTCGACATCCGATGAGGATGATGATGATGATGATGATGATGATGATGATGATGATGATGATGATGATGA